GCTACAGCTTTAGCCTCCAGCTTCTCTTGGCAGCAGCCATGATATACTCCCTCGGAGGTACCAGCACCAGCTGCCCATGACCTCCTTGGTGGTCCAAATACTATGCACTTGGTGCTCCAGCCAGAAGTCTAAGGACCAACTAGGCACCCTAGAGTTGGGGTTGGGACTTCCTCCAAGCTCTACCTTGTAGGACCTCCCCCAGAGACTCTTCTCTTTTGGATTCCAGCCCTACGTGTGGCAGCTGCTTCCTTCAGTAACTGTCTGATTTACCTCAGCATCCTGGCTTTCCAACATCTGGAAATACAATACAATATCCTGTATTAAATCTCCTCTGGTTGAAATATCTAGCATGGTTTATGTTACTCTGACTAGACCTTGACCTTGACTAATACAAAAGTTCTTCCACCTTGTAATTCTAGTAAGTGTCCCATTGATTCTAAACAATTGGCACTTTCAGCCCATTTATTTCTATATTTATCTCAACTATACTAAGTTTAAGAGTTATTATCATTACTATCACTACTTTTTTAGAAAATACGAAAAAATTATCAAATAATTGCACAAATACTGTTTACAAAGATAGAAATGCTGCTGAAATGAAATTTTGGGCTGACAGGCGGTGATTATGTGATACTTTGAAATGTTTATCCTCAACTGATGCATCAAAGATACACCTAGGGGGCTTCCCTGGTGGCGCAGTGGTTGAGAATCTGCCTGCCAGTGCAGGGGACACGGGTTCGAGCCCTGGTCTGGGATGATCCCACATGCCGCGGAGCAGCTGGGCCCGTGCACCACAACTACTGAGCCTGCGCGTCTGGAGGCTGTGCTCCGCAACAAGAGAGGCCACGGCGATGGGGAGCGGCCCCCACTCGCCACAACTAGAGAAAGCCCTCGCGCAGAAACGAAGACCCAACACAGCCAAAAATAAATAAATTAATTAATTTTTAAAAATGAATTACGAAGATAAATGACTTAAGAAAATAAATAAAAATTAAGATTTGGGGAAAATGCCATATTCAACAAAAGATAAAAAAAAAAAAAGGTACACCTAGCATGCAAAGGATGATGGAGAGATATGTGAATGCTTAACAATTTAAAAGCTGAGGAACTTCCCTGTGGTCCAGTGGATAGGACTCTGCGCTTCCAATGCAGGGGGCCCATGTTCGATCCCTGGTCAGGGTACTAGATCCCGTGTGCGTGCCACAATTAAGAGTCCCCATGCCTCAACTAAGAGTCCACATGCTGCAACTAAGAGTCTGCATGCTGCAACTAAGAAGTCTGCATGCAGCAACTAAAGATTCTACATGCTGCAACAAAGACCCCACGTGCCACAACTAACACCTGGTGCAGCCAAATAAATAAATAAATAAAAATTAAAAATAAATAAAAGTTGAGAATCTCCTGTATTTGCTTTCCTACAAAAGAAATATAGAACTCTGTTGGCCGACTCTGACCACTAGTGTGATTAGAATAGTTTTACTGGCCATCTTGATCTTCTTGCCACCTACCAGACTGGTTACCTTTTATGTCATAAGAAGGCAACTGTTAAAAATCAAAAGCTTCCAGCTACAGCCAGTTGATACATTTTGTAGACAGAACTCTGAGATGACTGCTAAGATTTCTGCCCTATGCTATATAATCACCTCCGCTTGAGAATGAGCAAAACTGTGAATATGGTGGATGTTGCTCCCATGATTATGTTACTTTATATGGCAGAAGGGATTTTGCAGGCGAAATTAAGTTCCCTAATCAGTTTACTTTGACTTACTCAAAAGGGAGATTATCCTGGGTGAGCCTAACTTAATTGTGTGAGCCCTTAAAAGGAACTGGACCCTTCCTGAAGCCAGAGATTCAAAGTGTGACAGAGGATCTATGGAAGGGGGCTATATGGCATAGACCTGACAGTGGCCACTAGTAGCTGAGAATGGTCCCCAGATAACAGACAGCAAGGAAGCAGGGACCTCAGTCCTACAACCACAAAGAAATGAATTCTGCCAACAACCTAAAGAAGCTTGGACGTGCATCTTTTCCCAGTCAAGCTTCCAGGTGCGGACTCACCTGGCTGACACCTTGACTTCAGCTTTGTATGACCCTAACCTGTGCTGGACTCATGACTCACAAAACTGGGAGGTAATAAATTTGTGTTAAGTCACTGAGATTGTGGCAATTTGTTACACAGCAATATAACAATGATACAATCAGTGGGGAGGTGTAGATTCCATTTGCGACACCGGCAAAATACATAGTAGCCATGATAAAGAATATATAAGACCTGTCTAAGGAAAAATTTTACCTATGCATAAAATAGGATTTGGATAAATGGGGAGCTATATTATGTATCTAAATGGGAAAATAAATATTTAAAAGATGTCACTCTTGAAGGAGTTTTTATGGGACTTCCCTGGTGGAGCAGTGATTAAGAATCCGCCTGCCAATGCAGGGGATATGGGTTCGAGCCCTGGTCCGGGAAGACCCCACATGCCGGGGAGCAACTAAGCCCGTGTGCCACAGCTACTTAGCCTGCGCTCTAGAGCCCGCGAGCCACAACTACTGAAGCCTGAGCGCCTAAAGCCCGTGCTCCGCAACAAGAGAAGCCACCACAATGAGAAGCCAGCGCACCGCAACAAAGAGTAGCCCCCCCTCGCCGCAACTAGAGAAAGCCCACATGCAGCAACAAAAACCCAATGCAGCCAAAAATAAAATTAAAAAAAAAAGTTACTAACTGTATGAAAAAGTAATCTATAAAAAAAGGCGTTTTTATGACATAAGAAATGCATAAATAGTTCACTAGTGAGACTTCCCTGGTGGTCCAGTGGTTAAGACTCTGTGTTTCCACTGCAGGGGGCACAGGCTCGATCCCCAGTTGAGGAACCAAGATCCTGCATGCCACGCGAGACAGCCAAACATTAAAAAGAATTTTTTTTTAATTAAAAAAAAGTTCGATGGGAAAAAAAGATATTTGAACAGCAAATATGTAGAACATTTGGAAATCTTCAGGAAAGATCACTCTGGAAATAGCACCTAGGACTTTAATCCATAATCCCCAATGTAAACTAAAAATCTATAATGGTAGAATGGGTCTAAGTTTTAAACCAAGAAAACTCAAATTCCAGAGGTAGTAGGAAAAATGACTTTGCAAACCCACAGACGTATAGAAGTAAGCACAGAGAGAGTGAAGTTAATCAAACCCATAGTGGGAGTATTTTTATGATAATTTTAGGATCTGAGAGACAGGGTATATGAAAGCCCTCTGTATGCTGTAAAGCACTTATACATTATTATATATTATCTTTGAAATATAGATAACAATATCTGGCTTACTTATCTTGCAGTGTAATTTAATTAACTATGTGAATGTGTAGATTAAAAATGCATGGATGTTAACACAGGATTAGCTAATTGCTAATCTCCACCCAAATTCACACAGAAAGGGACCATCTGAAGTCATTGGGTGGTAGTAGTGGCAGCACTAACAGCGGCAAGAATTGTGGATAGAAGACAGACTCTGGTGGTGCTCTCTTCTCCTCTCCAGCCTGTGGACTGCTGCCACTACACTGGTTTGGCTACATAAGGGCACCAGCTGGGACCCTGTTCATCTTTACACAGGGCTGGTTTCATGGGTTAGCAGCCCGTGTGGCTGCACTAAGACAGGTCCCATGCTTGTTGTATTGCTCTGTTAACACTGTCTTGAAATTCTTAATAATTTTTAAACAAAGGACCCTGAATTTTTATGTGCACTGGGCTCCACATATTATGCAGCCAGTCCTGACTGCAGAACCCATTTGGATGTTTGTTTCTTCTGACAAACAGGAATGGAATTTACCTGAATTTAGGCACTGGCCCAGGAGTGAACATTGCTAGAACTGCCCTGAACTTCTCCCCTGCCAGACTGTTCCTTCTTTTTCATATCCATCTGTTGGGCCCACCATAACTTCCCAGAACCTGGCTGGGTCTGTAAAGAGAACCCTGCTGCGCTGAATTTGACCTCAGCATCATCACCATGCTGTTGGCAACCTCTGTGGTTGCCAAGAGGTTGTGGTGTGGCAAGACTCCTGTCCTGCCTGACTCCAGCTAGTGGTGTATAAAGGAACTCCTGCTCTAGCCTGACCCTAGCTGGTGGGTGGCCTGGGTCTCTGAGGATGCTTTCTTCCAGAAGGGACAAAGGAGGACAGAGGGGGTTAGAAAAAGTTAATTATCAATCAGAGGTCAAGAGTGACTGCTCAGAAGTGGGCTTCTACCACTGAATGTTGCCTAACCTCCCGAGCCTCAGTTTCCCCGTCTGTAAATGTGGCAAGCAGAGGAGGTATCAACTTCCACAGTACTGCCAAGAGGACAGAGAGTATGCGTTAAAGACTATGTGGTTCCTGGAGCTTTGTGTTAGCATTCTGTGAAGCAGGGGTTCTTAATTATGTGGGTCATGGGCCCCTGGGAGAACCTGATGCTATCTATGACTCCTTCCCAGCCCTTCCTACGTCCCCCCAAAACGTCATCTCTCAAAAGAGCTCGCCCACGGTGCCAGGATTTGACCCAGGTGTTCCTGGACCCAGGTGAAGTCACGGGCCTCTTCAATGCTCACTTCAACGGTGCCGTCTCCACTCGGTTCTCGAAGCCTCCACCTGTGGTTCACTAAACACAGCCACCCGCATCCGCACCACCCCTCCCAACCCCAAACCCCTCCCCCGCCTCTGCAGGGGGCTGATCCCAGCTGCCTGCACAGCCCCCGAGGGTCCGCGCGGGCAGACCGGCCGCAGGAGGGGGCGGGCCCGCCTGTCGGCCCGCCCCGCGTCGGGCTCGGGGTGAGGGCTCCGACCTATGACGGGAGGGAATCTCCTGTGTCCGGGGGGCGGGAGGGAAGCGTGAGGCTGAAAGGCGCATTGATGCAGCCGGCGGTGGCCTCGGAGCGCGGCGGTGCCGGACTGGGATCACGTCCCGGCTCCCGGGTCGTCGTCGCCTCCTCCTCCTCCTCGCCTGCTCCGCGCGTCGCGGGGCCGCCGCGCGCCATGCGCCTCCAGGGCCCCGCCACCGGCTCCCCGCAGCGGCTCCTCGTCCTCCTGCTGCTCCTGCTGCTGCAGCTGTGGGCGCCGTCTAGCGCCTCCGAGACCCCCAAGGGGAAGCAAAAGGCTGTGCTCCGGCAGAGGGAGGTGGTGGACCTGGTGAGTCCGGTGGAGGGGACAGAGCCCCGAGCGGGGACGGGGGAGGGGGTGTATGTCTAGCGTGCGCCTGGGGGGTCCCGCTTTGTCTGAGTCTCCAGGGAAGGAAGGACCTGGGCTTTGCGGGTAGTGGAGTCCTGGAACTGGCGAGGGAGACCGGTATGAGAGGGCCATCGTGAACCAGAGATGCGCCGCGGGTCGTGTGGGACGCCCCAGAGTACAGGGAGTCGCCCAATAATTTCTGACCTCAGAGCCCCCATCGATTCCCGACCCCCAGCCCCCGCAGGGATGGAGAGGCTTAGGGCTGCAATGTGAGTAGAATGGAGAGCTTGGGGAGGTTAGAACGTGGACCAGGGAGCTGCCTGGGACACCCTGGGCTAACTGATCTCCCGGGTGGGCCTGGGCCAGGGACTTGCAACGTGTCCTTTGTTGGGGCTGGTGGCCACGTTTGCCAGTGGGAGAGAATAACAATCCTCACCCAACATCCGTCCAACTCTTTGTAACTTGATGACAGTGAGTCATGTTGGGTCATCTTCCTAGGGTGTATGGGCTGCAGTTTACTTTGTTGGACGACCACAGCTGGGCCAGGAATTGTTCAGAGGGTTTACGATCAGAAGGGGAAATGAAGGGGCCCAGCAGTAACCCTCCAAGGACCCATTTCATTGTTCTGTTTAGAAAGATGGGCAGCCCTTGCAGACACCCTGGGTCTTCAGCCTGTGACCACCAGGTAGGAGCATCACAGCTGAACTAAGGGGAGAAGACAGTTACCAGGAGAGCAAATAAATAGTCCAAGTGCTTTCTGAAGGGGTAATCTGTGGGAAGGTCTGTTTACTTAAAGCTCTTTCCTTCTAAAAGTCAACAAACCCAGTGAAGGGCAGAGTGGTTCTCTACCCTGGAGCAAGAGTGATCCTTTCAAAACCACTATATTCCTTGGTATATAATAAACTTCAATCTTTAAGCAGACAAATATGGGTTACAGGCATTGCAGGACATAAGAGGGGACATTTTTTTGATAAAAAACTGTTTCGAATTTGTTAAACTGCCATTGTAAACTGAGCTAATAAGCCAAGCTCCCTGGCAGCTAGTTCTATGCCAGATTCAAAAGCTCTGTAAAAAAATTCCTGCCGTTCCACACTGCACTTTTTGGTGTGGTGCTATGTAATTTTGCTCCACAAAGCAGACTGTGTGTTCAGGGCTACAGTTCTATTTTTAGTGCCTAAATTGTTTAAAACTGTACCAAATGAATGTGGTTCATGTGCAGTCTGCATTTTATGAATCTGTCGTTATGATACACAAAATACCCCCTTTCCCTATAAAGCTAGCAACTTTTTTTCTTTCCCTCCAAGGATTTACAGTACCTGCGGTTTCCCACAACTCTAGCCCGACTTGGAAAACTTTATTTTGCAGCCTGGCTCAGGTGCATCCTGTAATTGGATTTGGTTTTGCTGGGGGAAAAGAATCCACACAGTCATTAAGGTTTCAACAGATTCTATAAAGCAGCTTCTTTGTACAGGATCTTTCAAAGCCTTCCTTTCAAGCGTGCAACAAGCTCTGCCCCCTGGTGGCCAGTGAAAGAAACAGGGGTTCCTTCCACAGACATTTATGGAACCCCTACCTGATACTAATCATGTGCTGGGTTAGTGAAAGAAGTGAAAGAAGGCAGATGTAATACCCGTGGAACCGAATTCAGTAAAATTATGTGGTCTCTGAAATGCAGTTTTTAGATAAAAAGGTGAATAAAAATTCTCAACCATGGCACAATTGACTTTTGGGGCTAGATGATTCTTTGTTACGGGGACTGTGCTGTGCATGTAGCATGCTTAGCAGCATCCCTGCCATCTACCCACTAGGTGCCAATAGCAATCTCTCCCTCCCAAGCTGTGACAACCAAAAATGTCTCCAGACATTGCCAGGTATCCTCTGGGGGACATATATAGAAAAATAAAACTTTGCTCTGAGGGGAATAACAGTGAAAAAAAAATCAAAAAATACTAGAAGTTTTATTGTTTTTCCCTTCCCACTTGAAATCTTTGTGTAAACATTGCATATATCTGTTAGTGAAAGTAGCCTATCTACTAAATGAAAATTAAAGTATATCTACTAAATTTAAATTTAAATCTACCAAATAAAATTAAATTATATCTACCAAAATGAAAATTAAGCATAAAATAAAGCCAACTAGAATGTTTTATACTTTAGCATGTCTTTGAGTACTTTTGCAATTTTGTTAAATATGTTTCTTATTATTTCTCTGGCAGCAAATAAATAGAAGTGTCTTTTTTTTTTTTTTTTTTCTTAAAGTCAGGAAAATAGCACTGGTCAAAGTCATAAAAATCATTTAGCAAAATAAAGATCAAATTGGTGGTGTGAGAAGATTGATTGGCAAACATTAGATACATAAGGATCTTTCCTAGGCAGTGTCATTACTGAATTTAATAATATGACCATATCCAATCCTAGATGGTGAAATTAAAAAATAAGCTTTGTTAGAGAAATGCAAATCAAAATTACAATGAGGTATCACCTCACACGGGTCAGAATGGCCATCATCAAAAAATCTACAAACAGTAAATGCTGGAGCGGGTGTGGAGAAAAGGGAACCCTCTTGCACTGTTGGTGGGAATGTAAATTGATACAGCCATTATGGAGAACAGTATGGAGGTTCCTTAAAAAACTAAAAATAGAACTACCATACGACCCAGCAGTCCCACTACTGGGCATATATCCTGAGAAAACCATAATTCAAAAAGAGTCATGTAGCACAATGTTCATTGCAGCTCTATTTACAATAGCCAGGACATGGAAGTAACCTAAGTGTCCAGCAACAGATGAATGGATAAAGAAGATGTGGCACATATATACAATGGAATATTACTCAGCCATAAAAAGAAATGAAATTGAGTTATTTGTAGTGATGTGGATGGACCTAGAGTCTGTCATACAGAGTGAAGTAAGTCAGAAAGAGAAAAACAAATACGGTATGCTAACGTATATATGGAATCTAAAAAAAAAAAAAAAGGTTCTGATGAACCTAGGAGCAGGACAAGAATAAAGATGCAGACATAGAGAATGGACTTGAGGACACGGGGAGGGGGAAGGGTAAGTTGGGATGAAGTGAGAGAGTGGCATTGACATATATACACTACCAAATGTAAAACAGATAGCTAGTAGAAGCAACTGAATAGCATAGGGAGATCAGCTCCGTGCTTTGTGACCACCTAGAGGGGTGGGATAGGGAGGGTGGGAGGGAGATGCAAGAGCGAGGGGATATGGGGATATATGTATACATATAGCTGATTCACTTTGTTATACAGCAGAAACTAACACAACATTGTAAAGCAATTATACTCCAATAAAGATGTCAAAAAAAAAGCTTTGAAGTTATTTTAATATATAAGGAATCTTGATTTTTTTGTTCTCACTGGACAGTATATTTATAGAGAATGATAGTATTAGATCATTTATACAAATAGGGATTGTTAAAGTAAAAATTTAAATGAATTGGGTGTGCGGTTTGAAGGGTCTAATAATGGACCAATTCAGGGATAGGCCCAAGAATTAGGCAGATGGAGATCCAGCTTTACCACCGATGCAACTATATTGCTGTGTGTGGCTTATGGCTATGTGCGTTAGCCAGCAGGTTTGCTAATGCTCTCTTCCCCAGTCCTAGTCCACTCAAGGGAGTGGACACACTTGCTCTGGGCCACTATCTCACATGGTCTTGAGGAAATAATGAGAATAATCATGGCTGACTATACTATGTGCCAGGTACTGCTCTAGTACATTTTATGTATTATCTCACTTAAATCTCCTACAAGGTAAGAATCTTTATTATTTTTCCCCGTATTTCACTTAAGGAAACAGGCACTGAAATGTTGAATAACTTGCTCTATCTCACATAGCTAATAAGTGGTGGAGCCAGGATTAAAATCCAGAGTATATGACTCTAGAATCTATCACTCAACTTCTATGTGATACTACTGCACCCCCCCCCCAAGGAAAACAGAGATAATCCTAACACTTAAGAGTTTGTTAGATTACTGCCACCCTATTAAAGACTAATGGTCACTTGCAATGAGATTATTTATTCCTTCTTGGTGGGGAGGGCTGTGTGGGGTTGGAGGCCAGAAGTGTTCCAACACTTCCTCCACATGAAAATAGGAGAAGCAGGTGTGCTTATCCAACTTAGAGATATTGCCAGTGTAAGATAACTATTGAGTTAAGATTTCATTTTATAATTATATCTCTGAGAATTTATCTTAGGGAAATAATTGAAAAGAAGAAAAAAGCTATGTGGATAAAGATTTTCTTTACAATAATGTTAACGATAGAAAAAAAATAGAAATAACGATCCCCAAATAGTGCAATGTTTGCATAAAATTGTAAAAGTATAATTCTGAAATCCAAGTCTCTTTACAATATGTAAGGTTAGAAGAAAAGAGCAGTATATCAAATTATGTCTACCTTATAATACAGCCATTTAAAAATTATGTATGCTTTTAATGAGCAGTAGAAAAAAGCAGGCAAATGAAATCATTTTCTCTTCTTTGTGTGTGTAAAGTCTGCAAAAAAAAAAAGAATAGGAAAGAAATCCCAATATTTTAGAAATGACTTTAAAAATTGGTTCTTTATATATAAAAAATGACTCATCTGGAACATGGGCAAGTGGTATGAAGGGATTCTTGACTCCAAGCCCTCAAAATAAATGCGGTTCTGATCAGACTGAGTCTTTGAATCTTAAGTGAAGGGAGTTTCCCCCCCCCCCCCGTTCTTTTTTCTGATGCAGTATAATGGCATGTGCTTACAAGGGCCCGCAGGGGTGCCTGGGCGAGATGGGAGCCCTGGGACCAATGGCATCCCTGGCACCCCTGGGGTCCCAGGTCGAGATGGATTCAAAGGAGAAAAGGGGGAATGCCTGAGGGAAGTCTTTGAGGAGCCCTGGACACCTAACTATAAGCAGTGTTCGTGGAGTTCACTGAATTATGGCATAGACCTTGGAAAAATTGCGGTAAGTGAAGTCTGAATTATTTTAAAGTTGAAGTAAAACTTAAAGGTTTTCATAGTTGAGTGGTAATTTTAAGTGTGCTTTTATTTTTACTAAAAGACAAAAAATATTAAGGAATAGGTACCGTGTGACTTCTAACTTAGAATTAGTGAAAACATTGATAACATTTCAGAATTAATTTTATAAAGCTATTTCTGAGATAAATATATCATCATATTATTTTAACCCTAACAATACTTAAAATAACTTACTTTTTGTTTTTTAATGGAAACAAAAAGGGAGAGCATAGGTGTCTGTGTTGGACAAGTAAGCAATGTTCCAATCTTGTCCTAAAGTGATTTTAAATTAGTCTAAGAAATTCTGCTGTGGCTCCAGATATAAAGGTGGAAAGAAATATCCAAGAAATTAACACATGATTGGAATTATCTAGAGGTGGGGAGTCCATTGGTATTTGTCCTTATTCTGGGTAGCAGACCCAGCTTAAAATTGCTAAGCTTAAGAGAAGTAGAATGGACCAGAGATACACTATAATGACCATTTAAAATTATTCTGTAATATTTAGGGAGAAAAATTACTCAAAATAGCCTGTCTGGCAATGCATTTGGATTAATGACTCCGTCACTTTGATTAGTGTTTGCTTCCAAAGTAACTGGCAATTCCACTGGGATGGCACAGAGTTGAAGTTGGTGCCATTTCAAGCCTCTTTCTTCTTTTATTGACAAACTCTGTACATGGTTCTGAATCCACAGTATATTATTCCTTGATATTAACCACTATTACCACCAGGCAAATAGAAGAGATTTTATTTTCATAAAACTCTCAGGTTCTAAGTAGCAATCTGTGTATTATCCCTGCCCCTCTTTCAGCTCTTTAATGTCTGCTCTATTATCTATAAAAATGTTTGAGACTGTCTTGATTTGATTTCTGTGTGGTCGAATTTCCATATAGCTTCCATAGTTTGGTGACTGTGACCAGTTATATTTTCACATGTGATTTCTTAGAAAGCATTTTGTTAAAATGTTGCCTACTTCTTTAAACACCTGACGTTGATGGACTGGTTGCTTATTTATAGTTCATCAAAAGTTGCTGGCTGAGTTCTCTCTAAAAACTTGCCCTATGGACTCTGGATTATTAATACAATATGTTTTCAAGTTCCTTTTAGCAGTGGTCAGAATGGATTTGGGAGCCTTCTACGGGTAAAAGATAGTAGGACCATGAGCCAATAGACAAACAAATTTTGCAAAGACCTGGGTCTTATCATTGTGTCATGTAGGTAAAGACTAAAAACCCCGCCTACGCTTTACTCCTGATACTGTTTTCTGTTGCTTAAAAAGAAACAGGTCAGGGACTTCCCTGGTGGTCCAGTGGTTAAGACTCCGTGCTCCCAATGCAGGGGGCCCGGGTTTGATCTCTGGTCAGGAACTAGATCCTGCATGCCGCAACTAAAAGATCCCACACAAGGCAATGAAGATTTCTCATGCCTCAACTAAGACCCAGTGCAGTCAAATAAATAAATAAATATTAAAAAAAAAAAAAAAGTAACAGGTCAAAGTAATATATATGGGCAGGGCTAGGCAGGGATTCTGTGTTGTTTACTGTTGTATCCAGAACATAGGAAATAATTTTGGAATAAAAAGAAAAATAAATACATAGACTGTTTTGGTCTAAAATACTGAAGACTGGCTGTTTTTGGTAAAAACTGAAAGATACCCTCAATGGAGTGAATAATTCTAAGAAAGCCATAATTCTATTTTCTTAGAGTTTCTAATATCAGAGTCTCTTTTCCATCTTGCAGAGAACTGCTTTCCCTCTGTAAAAGCTAAGCTTTTTAAATGCAGTTTGGGGAAAAGGATCATTAAATGAAATGCACAATACAATTTAAAAGCATCTTTTTAATTAAAATGAAAATGCTAATTAAGTCCTATTTCTGTGTTTGTGACAGGAGTGTACATTCACAAAGATGCGTTCGAACAGCGCCCTAAGAGTTTTGTTCAGTGGCTCGCTTCGGTTAAAGTGCAGAAGCGCGTGCTGTCAGCGTTGGTATTTCACGTTCAATGGAGCTGAATGTTCAGGACCTCTTCCTATTGAAGCCATAATTTATTTGGACCAAGGAAGCCCTGAACTGAATTCGACAATTAATATTCATCGCACTTCTTCTGGTACGTAGAATGGGGACATTACAGAATGTGCCTCAGATCTTTAGAGACCAAAGATTAGTTTTGAGTCCACTATCATGGTAGGTCATAGCAAGCTTTCTGTGCATAATTCTCAATCCTCGTTGCACTTCAGAATTTCTTAGAGATCTTTTAAAAACTATGTGGATGCCTGGGTCTCATCTCTGATCAACTGAATCAGAATCTTGGGGTAAGACCCCAGCAGCTGTATTTTTTAAAAAATCACAAGGTTAGATGAAAAGATCACTGAGTTAGATGAAATGGCGAAATAGCCAATAATGCCATAGAGCAGTGGTTTTCGACCTTAGCTATACCTTGTGTTCAACTGGGGAACTTTAAAAAATCACCGTGCCTGGGTAACACTCCCCCATGAAGGCTGACTTAATGGGTCTGGTTGCACCCCAGGCAATGGAACTTCCAAAGTCTCTCCTGGGGCTTCCCTGGTGGCGCAGCGGTTGAGAGTCCGCCTGCCGATGCAGGGGACACGGATTTGTGCCTCGGTCTGGGAAGATCCCACATGCTGCGGAGCGGCTGGGCCTGTGAGCCATGGCCGCTGAGCCTGCATGTCCGGAGCCTGTGCTCCGCAACAGGAGAGGCCACAACAGTGAGAGGCCTGCGTACTGCAAAAACAAACAAACACACAAACAAAGTCTCTCCTGGTTATCTCAATGTTCAGCCAAGCTTGAGAACCACTAGCTTAGATTGATAAGAAGGCTGATTTCTCTGCCTTGTTCTTTAAAAAGATAGGTACAGTCTGCTGCATTTGTAAAAGAGAACATTTCTATATTGTTCCTGCATTCTGTTTGCTTCTACCTCCTATAAAAGAAACTGACAGTCAATTAAACCAGTGGTCACTTAAGCTGTTAAAAAAAAAAACCACCTTGGACTTCCCTGGTGGTCCAGTGGTTAAAACTCTACGCTCGCACTGCAGGGGGCACGGGTTCCATCCCTGGTCAGGGAAGATCCCTCATGCTGTGGGTGGCCAAAAAACCCCAAAACTATTGGGTTGTTTGTTTTGTTTTGTTTTTGTTGAGTTTTGGGGGGGTTGTTTTGCTGTATTTTAAGGTTCGTTGAAAGAGTTTAGAAGCTACCAAAAGTAGAAGGGGAAAAAACTACCTATTAATGTCATCACCCAGACACACCACTGTGAGTATTTGGCTGCCAGCTATTTTGCTTTCTTGAGTTGCTGTGTGGCAGGAGCTGGGAGTGTGGCACACCGTAACAACACATGCCGAGAGAATCACAAGGTGTCGATAGCGATAGCTTCATTTCCCTGATTTCTTGAAAGGATTTCTCACGAATCTTAAAAATGTCAGAGGGAAGAGAAGAGATCCCCTCACTGCTAACCAGAAGAAATATTTCAGCATTCTTAGGGATCAAGTCAGATACTGATCCCCCAAATTAATAGAACACATTTATCCTTAAGAAATCAAGGGCATCCCTTCCATTTTCTTCCTCAGATCCCCACAATATCCTCAAGATGTAAAGAAGATACTTTAACCCCTTCTCTCTGCACATAGAGGAGGTCCAGGGAAATAAAGTATCTTACCCTGAACAGTAGGCTCAGTGTCCTGGAGAGCAGAAACCAGAGCCCTGCTCTCTTGTCTCCCCAGACAAGGTTTGATCAGGTGAAAAAGCGTCTTCACTAAGTTCTGTGCTGTAAAGGAAGAGGTGCTTTCCATCTGAGAAGCAGTCACTAAAAATTTTTAAATCTGGGTATAAAATACAAAATTTGACTAGGAAATGATATGTGTTTAAATAGTAGTTGATATAAGCAGCTTACTTTCTATCGTAGTATCTTTAAATGTGTGTGTTAATATCTTGCTATAATGTAAGCTCTCAGGCCTAGGAACTAGGAACCTATACATACATATACTTTGTAAATTATTTAACATAGCATTTTCCAACCATGTTGTGGAAACGTATTTGGTGTGATCAGTTGGGTAGAATGTCAGAAGTAATTTGTTATTCATAACAGTTTTTGTCTTGAGATGAGTTAAAGGTTATCTCTATAATAAATTCCCTTGCACACTGGTACTGTTTCTTGAGGGAAAGGAAAGGGATGCACTTACAGTTTGCACATCAGAGGATGATGTTAAGCCTTGGATATGCCCATGGGAGTTTGACATTCATTAGGATGTCACCTTCTTACCTGGATCTAGGAGGAAAACAGGTTGAGAACCCCTAATCCAACATAGTTCAGGTGTTTAATAAACTGCAATACTACCTTATCACAGCGAAAATGTTCATTCATTCAAAAAACATTATTTCATTTGTTAAAGACCATGAAGTGACCACTTGACTCTCCCCGTGTGAGGCTGACACTAAATGCAAACTTGTCTGACCTCCTATGGGATGAAGTGAACAAATTTTTAGGCCATGGATGTCAAGACCTTGGGAGAACATGAGGATTTCTAGGCTTTCTCACCTGGCATGATACTGAGAATTCTAGATTAAATGGGATTGTGGGCACGCACTGCTTAGTTCTCCCAACTTTGAAAGGGGCCTGAACCAGTCACAGGTCCCTGGATTCAGAGGGACTTGCCTTCAATTCACTGATGTCACAGCTGGTGGAAGCAGATTGCTTTAGGCCTGCAACCCCTGGCTCGGTTCAAATGCACTCACCTTAACCAGATAGGAAAACTAACCAGTCACATGCAGTCATCCCTACCCTACTTATATGTAAGAACTGGTTTTCTTAAAGAATGTGCCAATCTGCCAACCTTTTCCCCCTGACACAGACGTCAAAGGGGTTGTACCTTTTGCCTATTAAAATCAACACTAGGGGATTTTTTTAATTTAAGATATTTACCATGTATTTCTTCTTTAGGTCTTTTTTAAAAAATTACTTTATTTATATTTATTTTTGGCTGTGTTGGGTCTTCATTTCTGTGCGAGGGCTTTCTCTAGTTGAGGCAAGCAGGGGCCACTCTTCATTGCGGTGCGCGGGCCTCTCACTATCGCAGCCTCTCGTTGCGGAGCACAGGCTTCAGACGCGCAGGCTCAGTAGTTGTGGCTCACGGGCCTAGCTGCTCCGCGGCATGTGGGATCTTTCCAGACCAGGGCTCGAACCCGTGTCCCCTGCATTGGCAGGCAGATTCTCAACCACTGCGCCACCAGGGAAGCCCCTGGGGGAATTTTTTAATGTTGGAGAAGAGCCTTGATAAGGAATGCAACTTATATATATTAGTATGTGAAAATCGAGAGGACCTGTGAAAAGGCACGTGTTTATAAAGCATAAAAACACAGAGGAAAAACAGGATTTACTTAGTTTTTTGTTTTTTTCATGGTGAGGAAATTCCGGATTGAAGGACTGATACAATGATTACGTTAGAATTACTTTTAATGTTATAAAAGTCCTTTTTTTTTTTTTTTCTAGTTGAATACCATCAAGTGTATACAGGTAAGTGTTGGAAAGGGCTTTCTTTAAAAAAGACTTACAGATCACGTCAAAATCTTGGCTTTTAAAAGTGTAGGCGGGCTTCCCTGGTGGCGCAGTGCTTGAGAGTCCGCCTGCCGATGCAGGAGACGCGGGTTCGTGCCCCGTCATTACAAAGCCATTCTTCGATTATGTACTACTCAAAGTGCAGTCTAAGTATCAAGCCTTTATTAACAGCATTTTATAAAAGGATATGTTTACTTCTAAGATGTTCAGCAAACCACTGGCTGACTATTTATTTGCATTATATATAAAAATAGGCTTCCTGGGCTTCTCTGGTGGCGCAGTGGTTGAGAGTCCGCCTGCCGATGCAGGGGACACGGGTTCATGCCCCGGTCCGGAAAGATCCCACATGCCACGGGGCGGCTGGGCCCGTGAGCCATGGCCGCTGGGCCTGCGCATCCAGAGCCTGTGCTCCGCAATGGGAGAGGCCACAACAGTGAGAGGCCCTCGTACAGCGAAAAGAAAAAAACAAAAAACAAAAGTGTAGGCTTCCTTTGTTTAGTCAGATAAATTGCTTTTTTGTTTTAGGTCATCTCTGTAACTAAACAAAGTCTCCCTTTATGATTAAAACCTCTAAGAAAATTCCCCATGAAGCTTATTCCATAGAATGGATATGTATACATCTTTAAGAAATATTTATGTGCTAAGAAAAAGAGAACTTATCTTTATGAGACCTTTATTAAGTATTAGCATTTTTAATTCCCTGTACATTAAGTAGGTTTAACCTAGCTTGCTGAAGTAATACAGTTGAGCTAAAGGTTTTTGCTTTTTGTTCTATGGAGATTTGTAATTCTCACCTTGTTTTGCAGTGGAAGGACTCTGTGAAGGAGTTGGTGCCGGACTAGTGGACATTGCTATCTGGGTTGGAACTTGCTCAGATTACCCGAAAGGCGATGCCTCTACGGGGTGGAATTCAGTGTCTCGTATCATCATTGAAGAGCTACCAAAATAAATCCTTTCATTTTTGTTCCCTACCTCTCTTGTATTATACCTTTGAATGGTTCATTTTTGTGATCCCTTATATGATTTTTATGTGTACGTCTGAATGAAAAAACAAAATTAAATGTGTTTATGGACCAAAGTGTGATTTCACACTGTTTTTAGATCCAGTATTCATTTTCCTTCCACCAAAACTGGTTTTGGGATTTTGTAGAAGCTTAAAATACTTTCTTCATATTCCCATTCCCTGAACCTATAATTTGGAATGTTATTGTGGTCTCCGTTTCTTTCCTGTCCTCTTAGTGTAGCACTTTTTAAAATATAAAAGCTACCAGTCTTTGTATAAGTTGTAAATGTTCAGAATTGTTTAATATCTGTGAAATAAAACTTATTTCAAACAACCTTAATATCTTTAACATAATTGCCACTAAAAGCAGGGTTTCTGGTACTTTATATCTGGAAAGTTGAGGATAAACCTGATTTTGTATTTATCCGTTTGACAATCATGTTTTAAATTTAGTACAATAGTCCTGTTCCATATTTTGAGGGATTCAAAGACAAAGTGATACTTATGTGTCAGGAAATGCACTAGCACTTTAGAAATTTTATCTTAATTTAACAAAGAGTAAAAAGATGGGGACTCTGGTCTCAAATTGCTTACCATTTGGTAGGGAAACTAAGATACAAAAATAACAAATCAAAGATTAATATGTTGATTGTGACAAAAGTTGTTGAAGAGGTGGTATAATTCAAAGAAAGACCTATCACTTCTGGCTGAGGTGATCAGAAAGAATTCATGATGAAGTAAGTACAGGTGTAAGACTGATAAAGTTAAGTAAATCCTGGGCTTGACTTGGAAGTGTCAGTATGAACTCATAAGTTACTTTGTCTTAAATAAAGCTATAAAACAATTAACAATAGAATCTCCTAGCTTTGTTTACTGAAAAGACCCAGAAATAATGACCAAACTAGTAATGCCCAGATTGTGGTCTCTATATACCATTTGGCAACTATGAAAGACAACTCAACAGGATCCAAGAGCCAATGTGGATTGGTTCTCACTGGTAGAGATGATACGATTTAATCATCAATGAAGATAACAACTGGAATGGTTTGAAACACATCAGATATGTTTAAATGCATGAGTTCATAATGATATTAAAATAAAATTCATTGGTCAACTTAGAGGATGCCAGGAAATCAACTTACTTTGAAATTTGGGGAAAAAAGCAAAGCATTTGTTCTGCTTTCTCTACATGAACTGTATTTCTGGGTAACCAACTTGTTGATGAAGGAAAATTTCTCTATAGAATGTGTGTGTGTATTTTATAGCACTATATATTGGTATAGATAACAAATGAAGAAAGTGATAGGATATCCCTCTTTTCAACCCTGCATGGTTTTAGGGCTCTAGCAATGATCATCAATGACTGATAACATTCCAGCATGAGAAAAAGACAATGTGCCCCCTAAGGAGAGCACATTACACTACCCAAGAAGTTGTTGTGCAAGAAAGAATCAAACCTGGATCTGATTTAGCCTCCAGATACAACCGTTAAATTTTAGGCAATACAGGGGATAGAAGAATATGTTAATTGACATATCAGGATTATAATCAGCAAATCAGGACTATGGGAAACTTGAAAGACAACTGGGTTTCTTCAACAAATCTACTGCAGCAGAAGAGAAAAAGGAAAACATGGATTAAAAGATTTAATAGATATTAACTCTTTTCGGTGTTTGGACTTTATTTGGATGCTTGGGGTAGTTCGGGACATTTAAACATTGATAGATATTTGATATAAAGTGATTTGGGGGTTTGATGTGAAGGAGTTTTGTGGTTAGTTTAAAATAGCACTTATATTTCAGAGACACAAATATTCAGCATAAAGTGATATGATGTCTGGAATTTGCTTCAGAATAACCTGGAAAGGAAAAGTGGGTGAGAGGGGGGTCTAGATGAAATAATGTTGAAGATAGGTAGAAGTTAACCAAGATGGGTAAAAATTGTGACAAATGGGGACTGGGATTAAGGACACATTGAGTGGAGACCAGAACATTAGTGAAGACCTCTTTGAATTGGCACAGACTGTGAAGGTATTTGTGGCCCATGTGAATGCCCACCAAAGGACATCAACTGCACGAGAGGCTCTTAATGATGAGGTGGACAAAATAACTCGCTATGGATGTGAGTCAGCTTCTTTCCCCAGCACTCCAGTGCTAGTTCAATAGACCCCTAAACAAAGAGGCTGAGGTGGCAAGGATGGAGGTTATGTATGGATTCGACAACATGTAATTTCCCTTACTAAGGCTGGCCTGGCTAGTGCTTCTGCTGAGTGCCTAATGGGCCAACAGAGTCCAGCCTGGAGTCTCTAATATGGCATCATTCCCAGGGGGGACAAGCCAGTCACCTAGTGGCAGGATGATTACACTGGACTTTTATCGTGGAGGGGCAGAGATTTGTTCTCATGGAAATAGACATATATTCTGGATACAGATTTGTCTTCCCTGCCCTTAATGCTTCTGCTAGCACTACCATTCATGGACTCACAATATATATATATAATATATATATATATATTATATATATATATATTTGACTGTGCTGGTTCTTTGTTGCAGCATGTGGGATATTCATTGCCGCGTGCGGGATCTTTAGTTGCGACATGCAGGATCTAGTTCCCTGACCAGGGATTGAGCCCAGGCCCCCCTGCATTGAGATCGTGGAGTCTTAACTGCTGGACCACCAGGTAAGTCTCTAAACGGCATTGTTTCTGATCAAGAAACTTCATGTCACAGTGAAGAAATGCAGCGATAGGGCTTGTCCCATGGAATTAACTCGTCTTTCCACATCCCCCATCACCTGGAAGTGACTGGCCTAAATGAGAGGGGAAATGGCTTACTGAGGACTCATTGATGGTACCAGTTGGTAGACAACATCCTGAAAGAATGGGGTTCTGTCTTACAGGTGCAGTGTATGCTTTGGATCAGAAAGCATTACATGGTGTTCTCGCTCCTGTAGCCAGAATACAAGTGGCAGAAGTGGAAGTGGCTTCTCTCACTATTACATCTTATAACCCATTTGCAGATTTTTGCTTCCTGTCCTGACAACTTTGAGCTCTGCTGGTTTGGATATCTAAGTATCCAATAAGGGAATGCTTCTGCCAGGGGATACAACAATGTTTCCACTGAATTGGAAGATGGGACTATGTGTTTAAAATACCAGAAATGTCTTTATCCCATGGTTTCTGTGGGTCAAGGATCTAGGCACAGGTTAGTTGAGTCCTCTGCTCAGGGTGTCACTGTGCTGAAATCAAAGTGTTGGCTGAGGCTGCAATCTCATCTGGGGCTCAAGGTCCTCTGCACAGGTCATGTGGTTGTTAGCAGAACTCGGTGCCTTGCAGCTGCATGATTAACGTCCCTGTTCTCTTGCTGTCAGCTGGGGATGGCTCTCAGCACCTGGAGGTCGTTCTCGGGGCCTTGCCACGTGGCCCCTCGTATCTCAACATGGCTGTTTTGCTTCCAGACTAGCAAGAGAGCTCTTCTGCTTTTTTATTGTTCTGAAACATGTTTTTATCTTTCATTTAACGTTAAGAACATCTTTTTTCTTGTTGTTGTTGTTTTGGTGGGATTTTTTTTGTTTTTGGGGGGTTTTTTGGCCGCTAGTGCAGCATGCAGGATCTTAGTTCCCCGACTAGGGATCGAACCCGTTCCCCCCTGCAGTGGAAGCCCAGAGTCTTAACCACTGGATCACCAGGGAAGTCCCAAGAATGTCTTTTCATGTAGACAAATGTATGTTTACCTCATCCTCGTAAACAGCTGCACAGCATTCCATTGTAGTAATAGATCATCATTTATTTAGCTAGACCCTAGTGACTGACTGACTGTTAACATTGCTTTCTATTCCCGCTGTTTCAAACAATGCTGCAGTGAAATTTCCTTGCACACACAGTATGTCCTGGGGCATTTCTGCAAGAGTGCCTGTAGGGCAATTTATCCCTGGGTCCAAGAGGAAGCATGGTTCAAATTTTGACATATCACTGACTTACCCTCAATTATTGTGACAATTTTCACTCCTGCCAATAGTGTTGGAGAATTTCTGTTCTCCCTACCCTAGCCAGCATGGGATATTATGAAACATTTTTTTCCTTCCAGTTTCCTTGAGATATAACTGACATACAGCACTGTATAAGTTTAAGGTGCATGGCATAATTATTTGGCTTAAGTACATCTTGAAATGATTATCACAATAAGTTTAGTGAACCTCCATCATCTCATATAGATACGAAATAAAAGAAAGAGAAAAAAGTTTTTTTCTCCTTCTGATGAGAACTTAGAATTTACTTTCTTAACAGCTTTCACAGATAACATACAGCAGTGTCAATTACATTTATCATGTACATTACATCCCTAGTACTTATTTCTATAACTGGAAGTTTGTACCTTTTGACTATTTTCATCCACTTCCCCCTCCCCTCAATCCCCACCTCTAGTAACCACAAATCTGATCTCTTTTTCCATAAGTTTGTCTGTTTCTTTTTGAAACCTAATTGACCTACAACACTATGTTAGTTCCTTTTGTACAATATAGTGATTCGATATTTCTATACATTTCAGAATAATCGCCATGATAAGTCTGGTTGGCAACCAGCTGTTTGTTTTCTGAATCTATGACTCTGTTTCTGTCTTGTTGTGCTTGTTCATTTGTTTTGTTTTTTTAGATTGCACATATAAGTGAAACCAAACAATATTTGTCTTTGTAAATATCTTCTTTCATTCAGTAGGTGGCCTTTTTTTTTTCGTGAATAGATGTTGAATTTTGTCAAAAGATTTTTCTTCATCTATTGAGCTGATCATATGATTTCTATTCTTTAGTTTGTTAATATGGTGTGTCACACTGATGGGTTGGTAGATATTGAATCTCTTTCATCCCTGGAATAAATCCCACTTGATCATGGTGTATGATCCTCTTAATGTGTTGTTGAATTCAGTTTGCTAACATTTTGTTGAGGA